GTGGGTATGCACGGAAGAGGTTATACGCCGTAAGGGTTAATCTCAAGTGGTATCTGTAAATGAAATCTGAGTGTGAGTGTTCTAAACGTCAAATTGAGTCATACTACTTAAAGTAGATATCTTCCCATAAAAACCTGCATGGGCCTCAAGGCGCCAAATCAGGTAAAATGAATTATATATATATATATATATATATATTAAGAGCAGGTGCAGTAAATGTATCATCCACCGCCTAATCCAGGTTGTCAGGATATGTACCTGCTGCTGGCCAACGCCTTAGCATGGTCTAACTGACGTCACGAATTCCAACAATAATGTATGAAGTACGGAATCTGACTAATGGAAGATAGATAACTTATACGTGGAATATGATAGGGCAGAGGTTACAACTAAGTCTCCTAGGTCTAGCTCTATTTTGAAGCGTTCTTGACTTAGAGGTGTTTATAGTCGCCAAGATAACAGTTTCGAGTAATAGGGCAGGACTTCTACTAACGGGTCTGAGACTTCTCTTTGGTGGGCAATCATAGAGGAAAGTCGACTATTCGTATAAGCAAGCATACCTCGGTGGTACCCGCGAGTAAAATCTGGAGTATGAGAGTTCCTCCATTCGAAATACCATCGACCATATATCATAGCTAGAAAGACGAATACACACTAAATTAGTTTGAACCAGATTTAGGATTTATCCAAGGCATTATCTAGTACCCAAGACGGTACGTTGAAGTTGGTCTGAGGAAATATGCCGCAAACAAACTTTGTCAAGATTTTTATAACATCTCAACATAACATCAGGGTAAGAACTTAGATGAAGCTCGCAAGGCCATATGTGCTTTCCTGGACTGATCATTATCAGGATTTTTAAGGTACTTCTGGAATAAGGGAAGTGTACATCTACCACAATTTCAAAACTACAGGAACTGTAGTCGGTTGGGAATTAGGGGAAGATAGTGCAAGATTAAGACCATTGTGTTTTGTTATTGTGAAAATCTTGAGTGTATATATTCTTATAATTTTCAATATGTCAACGGCCGGATGGTGTAGTTGGTTATCACGTGTCCTTAACACGGACAAGGTCCTGAGTTCGAGCCTCAGTTTGGTCACGCCGAAGATCTGATCATCGTTCTTTTGCTCATTGTGCGTCCTCTGTACACCGGATGATGTCAGACCGCCCAGTCAGTATAGCCCTAATATTTTGGATAATTAACGGTTAGTTTTAGAAGCCCTTAATAGTCTTTGATTTCGGAGAAGAAGAGCAAGACCGAACACCTGTACGCGGTGTCCTCTGCGAAGCTGGGAGTGAGATATTCTCCCAGAGCCAAGTTCAGTCAAATTTTGCAATATCAAAGAAGTTGGCCCACGAGGCAAAAATTCGAATTACTCCACCATGTCAATCTTTCACTCCCAAAGAGTCCGATTCCTACCAAAGCCTCATTAAGTCTACAAGTACGACCTGGTACATCCTCATTCCAATGATCACACCTCTCGCCGACTTTCTTTGGCCTCAGCCGGTCACCAAATACACGCCCACGCCGATATTTATACCCGACGGAGGAAGCAAAGCGTGGCGCACAAATCTGGGAGACAGTTCTTTGGGATGGACGTGAGAGGATTCAGGACAAGTTCACAAGATGATGCGAAGGATGGAAACAATGTCGACGGACGTGGAATTTTGGCAAGGAGTTTTTACAAATTGAGCTTTATGCGTGCCAAGACTTCGGGGGGTTTTTTTTTTTTTTGCATCAGATTTTAATTGCGTGTGCAGCTATCTAGCTATGACACAATATCAAAGAAAAGTACAGAATAGATGATTCAACGTGTGGGAAGAGCACTCATGCCTCGGATTTCATTTGCAAGTACCACTGCGAAGTTCTGGTGGCTTTTTCTTCACCCCAAGTCAACCCTCATCCGTGAATACCCACCCAGGGGAATGTCTCAAAAAACCTGAGTTATCCAGACATGCCTCCATCATCTTTCAACTTTCTCCGCGCGAAATATGGTCTGAGGCGTCTCCTTCCCAAGTGGGGTAGGTGCCCAGGCTACTCAAACCATACCAGAGAACACCACCAGGAGGCGGATCACTACACCTTCCATCGTCTGCTTGTTTTCATAGTGTGAGCTGCACTCTCGCAAGCGAAGCCTTGGCGCGCACAAAGCTCAATCCGTAAAACTCCATGCCAAAATTCGAAATTTCACGCCCGTCGAAAACGTATCCCTCTTCTGCATCATCTTGTAAATTTGTCCTGATCCCTCTCACGTCCATCCCAAAGAGCTATCTCTCAGATTTGTACTCCACGCTTTGCTTCCTCCGTCGGGTATAATTATCGGCGTGGGCATGTATTTGGTGACCGGCTGAGGCCAGAGAAAGTCGACGAGAGGTGTGGTCATTGAAAAGAGGATGTACTATGTCGTACTTGTAGACTTGATGAAGCTTAGTTGAGAATCGGACTCTTTGGGAGTGAAAGATTGACATGGTGGAGTAATTTGAATTTTTGCCTCGTGGGCCAACTTCTTTGATATTGCAAAATTTGACTGAACTTGGCTCTGGGAGAATATTTCACTCTCAGGTTCGTAGAGGATAACGCGTACAGGTGTTCAGTCTTGCCCTCCCCAAGACTTCGGTTGCGAGAGTGCAGGCGACACAATAAACACCGCCATGGTTGGATGGTGCGGTGGTACATCGTCTTGGCCGGTCTTCCAAGTAGAGTCTGGATAGCTTGGACACATATCCCACTCGAGACAGTATATCGCTGGTTCAAATCCAGCAAAACACAACCACTTTTCTCGCAGCCCTGATATGCATGGATGACGAAGTCAAAATAAAGATATGTGGGACACGGTATTACGTTGTAAATGTTGACTGAAGAACCCTATAGCTACAGATGAAATCTATGTACTGCTATGAAGGTCATGTGACCTGTCTAGCTTAGTTTACATGAGTAGGTGAAATATTACCCCTAGACACGAAGGCATGCTTGGATAACCTAAAGTTTTTAAACGTCCCTTTGGTTGGTACTAACGGAGGAGGGTCGACTGTTTGTGTAAGCGAACATACCTCATAGTGGTATTTGCGAATGAACTCCAGAGTAAGCGTATCTCCAACGTCAAAAGAGTCATCCATCATGTATACATAGCGCCGTTCATGTGTCGTAGCTAGATATCTAAATATACACTAAATGATAAAAAAAGAATGATAAAGTGAGTTCTTTTGATGATTGATTGCCTTCTCGATCCGGCTCAGTTCTATACGATTGCGTGACTTTCGCGTAATTTTGCTGTGAATTCTTACACTTCCTTTGTAAATGTTCCCCAAGAAATCTCCCGAGGAGCTACGACTCCCTCGACGCAATCTTGGGTAAATTATTCAATGCTGAACTAGACAAGGAGGCTTTCGCGTTTATAACGATCGCCTCTGCCACGTAGACGCCCACTTGACTTGCTCCTGCGGGGATAACAAGTCAATCACCATTCTAGTTTTTAGACCCCTCGTTCTGGACAGGCTAGCCTCCGCTGGTGATCGAAGAAGCCTAGGGAAGCTGGATTTGCTTCTTGGCTCCTCCCGTGGTGCTAATCGTTTTTCTTCTATTTTGGAGAAGACAGAGTTCCTTTCGGAAATTTGCCCGATCCGTGCCAATTGACTCATGTCCATGTGAGAGTCCGGCTGTACAGCGCTCACAACACCCTAACAAATTCATTTTTCAAGGCCTTAAGCCTCTAAATTTATTGTTACATAGTTTAGTACGTAGTCGTCACCACGTCCCCCAAGGGATGGGGCTCTAGCCATAGCTGAAGCCCGGTAGATCTTTAAAAATAAATAAATCCTTTGTAAATGTTGTAGCTAGATTTATCTGAACGGGCTAAAGGAAATCAAACAAAAACAAATACCGTGGCAAGAATTTCTCCTTCATCCGAGATTTCGCTACAGTGCGATGACAAAATGCAAGACGTCAATATGCACATCTTAAAAGCATACTTGCATGTTGTCAATAAAGCTTTGTATGTGGGCATGACTCATGTACGTTCTAATCTCCATTACTTTCTACCTTCTATATATTCCATAGTCTGGAACCAAGAGATTTAGTTGGTCTTGTAAATCGTTCTATGACCGGAAAGGAAGGTTATAGGATTCCAGCCAGATATACCCGCATGAACTAATAAATGATAAATCAGCCTTTGCTAAACAGAATTTGATAGTGAAGGAGTTCTCTTTAAAAATTTGGAGTTCTTTTATCGTGCCCTCAATGAGGAGTCTATGTAGGTATTATATACATCTTGAGAGTATTCTGATAATTACGTCCGATTCCAAATACCTACTTAACTTTCAGATTGTCTAGGCGAACTGCTCAAATCTCCCTTCCATACATCGTTCTAAAATTGGCTGTGTTCATTTCATGAATGTCAAATTTCAGTTGTAAGATATTATCATGGATAATAGAGGGAATCCTATGTAATAAGCGATTGAATGACTCAATTTAACGACAAGAAATAGAATACAAACAGTAGAGGAATTATTCCTAGGAAATTAATCATCCGTCTAGTTGCTAATTGTAATATTTGCACGACTAGGTTATGGCCCGTGATGCATCAGCTCTATGTTGTTGCTTGTAAATTACTCAACTTCAATATTGTGCTACTATATTGAAAATTAGAGTAATCAGTTCGACAGCCTTTTTCAATCATTCTCGTGGTACAACAGCCGCAACCTCACTAATATCAAGACTTTTTGTCAGAGAATACGTATGACTCTATGAATGAAGACGCAAGATCATGCTGATTAACGAGACTTGAGAAGCCCAAACTTTTAGATCGACAATTTTGGAACAAACTACTTCAGTCCTTCTCAGCTCTTGCTGCCGTTCAACGACTCGGTCCTTATCTAAGTAATCATCCCTACTCAAAGCTTGGAGAAAATTTCATAGACGCGCAATTCTTATTGCAATCCTCTCATAATTCTCTAGCTTTTTCAACCGACCAGATCCTTGGGAGAAACGGGAGAAATCATTATGAAAATGAAACTCTTTATCTTTACCTATGCAACTTTACTCCTTGGTAACTCTGTATCAGGAGGACCGACAGATAATCACACTAGAGCGAAGCAAGTACTTCTTGTACCAGTTTTAGATGAAAACTTTGGAATGAATTGTGATCTTAATTTGAAATTTGAGAGAGACGAGATCATAAAAAAGATTGAAAATGCTAGAAGTAGACTGAATTCAGTTAACTATCCACCGGCCAAATTCTGTCATCCCAACTATCCAGGAACTAAAGTATTTTACTTCCGTGTGTTCAGATATCGGCTTGAAAATGGTGATTATTTAGAATGAGTGTGTTCCCTTGGGGCCAACTGTGTACTAAAATATTGGGCAGGTTGTGGAGCTGATGTCAACGTTCTATTAAGTCGCGATGGACATTTCTTGGGCGTGTTACTAACATATAGGAATAAGAATAGGAATAGAATAAAACATTTATGTTCCTTTACAGCCAGTACTTCTTTCTACCAAGTAAGCGAACCTAAATCTACTATTGGCCATTTGAATACTACGCCAGATCCTAGATCGACACGCGCAGATATTCCAACGGGGCAAACTGAAGACAAATGGCATTCTTTCTCAGGCTTAAAGTATCCGGTTATTGAAAATATCATGAAAGAAAATGGTGTCGTCGACTGATGTGCTAATCTAGACCTCTTTATATATTTTTTTTCAAAACTCTAGGGTCAGCATTTGAGAAATGTTTGAGCCGTGAGACAAAATAAATCATAACATATACAAAAGAGATAATTTCCGAGCACGCATCTGAATTCTTGATTACATTGCCTTGATAGAAATAAAGTAACTCGCTTCACGGATAGGAGAAAGCTAGGATCAGGCTAGAAATGCAGAGGGACTCTCCCTGACATACACGGAGATTTTTGTTGTAATTTTGTGTTGAAGTCTTGGTGTCCTTTCGCTACTCTGTAAAGTCTCAATGTAAGTTACATCTAGTGACACCCAAGAATTTATCATATAAAATATGTTCCACTACCCGAAGATCCATCTCTTAACTATTATGATGCGCCCTATTTAAAAAGCTAACCAAGTGCTTAAGAGACATGGATAATTCCAGAGATAAAGAGTCGATGTTATTATCAGGTGAAATCCTTGCTCATGAGCGTCAGTGATCTTTCCAAAGAGTTGCAAATCAGCAAATGACCATAACCTATCTAGCTTGAGGGTGAAGGGAGATGTCTTCAACGGTAAATATTATCAGATAGTGTCGAATACCCTCGTGACTTAATGATCTTTGATGTATTTTTTGGAAATGAGGACGACGGTGCTGCTCAATCTAATCTCAGAAGACTTTGCCGTGAGGGCAGGAGTGTCTTTTTTTGAATTATTTAATGTGTATTTAGATATCTAGCTATGACACATGACCGGTGCTATGTATACATGATGGATGACTCTTTTGACGTTGGAGATACGCTTACTCTGGAGTTCATTCGCAAATACCACTATGAGGTATGTTCGCTTACACAAACAGTCGACCCTCCTCTGACGGTACCCACCAAAGGGAATTTAAAAACCTTTGATTATCCAAGCATGCCTTCGTCATCCATGCATACCAGCGCCTCGAGAAATGTGGTTATTTTGCCGGATTTGAACCAGCGATCTACTGTCTCAAGTGAGATATGTGTCTACACTACCCAGACTCCACTTGGCAGACCGGCCATGACGATGTACCACCGCACCATCAAACCATTTGGTATTTACAGTGTCGCTGGGCAGGAGATGCGCAGGGGAAATTGCTGAGAGATTTTCAGTTTTCGTGCCCCTCGCCTATGTCAGCTCTCTAATCCGCCGGAACAATCTGACTCTCGTTGACGACCGGTATTGTGACTCGCAGTGAGTGCTAGACTTCAAACAAAAAATCTCCAACAAGTAGTGTTTATAAACTTCCACTACCTGCTCTCCACGAATTCAAGCAGATGAGAAACTGGGAACATTTAATGACAGATAACAAATCAAATTTTTATTCTTAGAAACCGTCGACCAGTAACCACAAACGTCAAACATCAAATGTAAGACGTAATGCGCAAAAGGTTCAAAGTCGAAGCGAATTTCTCAGATTTGTTCTACTCACAAACAATGTAGTTTATCGGATTCTAGAGTTTCAATGCTAGCTCTATACAAGCTTTCATCTCACATCGTTTACTTCACAAGTCATGAAACCCTTGACCATAGAGCTATTTTCCAACTCTCCACTATTATTTCTCTTCCTGAATCCGTTTTATGATGTTACATGATACTAATTACTCTCAACGCCTTGAGCCACATCGTGTATCACACATTGAATACACCACCAGCTCGATTGTCATTGCCAAACTTCGGTCAGCGATGCAACCACACGAGTTCTACGTTTGAACGATTGCTTCGAGTGCGTTGTGCCAAGAACCTTGGATGGCCTCCTCTCAGTCACTTTTGATTCCTAGCCATTGTGTAATAGAATCTAAGGTATAAGAACGACTGGAAACCGCTTCAATTTTCATAACCATTCATCTTTGTATTCGTTTTAGTTTTTATCCATTTAGATTTCTACTCACTTCCCGGCCTGGAGCCATTAATATCAAATCAAATTATCAACTAAAACTCAATAAATACAAATCAACAATTCAGTAATATCTAAATCTAACTAATCAAATTCAATCCAATTCAACTAAATCTCATCGAATCAATCAAACAATTTCATTAAATTTACCGCACTTATCCAGTTTATTCCATCAAACAGCTTTTCGATCATAATCATTATGCAGTATTCGTCTACTCTTCTCCTAGCTACTTTCGCCGTCACCAGTGTCTTCTCTCATGGCGTCGTTGATTCTGTTGAAGGCGCCAATGGTGTTACTATGCCGGGTCTGTCAGGTATGAAACTCGCAATGATCCCTATCCCTGTCATCATTATTATCCTTGTTACTGTCCCTGCCCAAGTCCCTATCCATATCCATGTCTATGTCCCTGTCGTACACCCACTTTGAGTCGCTTCTAACACGAGTACTACAGTTGCCGACGGCACACCACGTGATTGCGCCAGTCCTCGCTGCGGATCTGAGGCTGATACTTCTATCATCCGTAAACGTGAGATGGGCACCAACAAGGCCACTGCACTTGGTCGCACTCAGGGCGGTGGTCCCGTCGACGCCAGCAAGATGATGGCCATGTTCATGGGAGGCGGAGGCAATGCTACGGCGACAAAGGAAGCACGGGAAGTTCACGCTGCCAACGTCCTTCGTCGAAGTCTTGGAGAGCGTGCAGCCAACGGAGGAACCAAGACTCCTAAGGGCACCTTGGAGACTGGTGTCAAGGCTGCAGCTGGAGCCGGAGCAGCCAGTGGGATGCCAACTTGTTCAGACGATGGTAAGGTCAAGATGACCTACCACCAAATCAACCAAGACGGAGCCGGGCCATTAACGGCCATGGTGGACGCCACTTCGGGTGGAACTGACCCAGCAGCATTCAAATCGGCTGAAGTCACACAAAATGTGCCGGGAATCGGTATAGGAGGACTGTCAGCCGCGGCCGTGATGGACTTCCCGGTAGAAGTACAGATGCCAGCAGGAATGACGTGCTCTGGAACAGTAGGCGACGCTCAGAACGTATGCATTGTTCGCATGCAAAATGCAGCAGCAGCTGGCCCATTTGGAGGATCGGTAGCAGTGACACAAAGCCCGGCTGCCAAGAAGCGTGCTATTGAGTACAACTTATCCAAGCGTCATTTTGCCCGAGCTCTAGCCAAGAGAAACGCCGAAGATGACGCAGCAGCATCAGCAGCCATTGCAGAGCTTGAGAAGATCGGATCTGCAACCAAAGATGATGAAGCCGATAAAGAAGATGCCGCTACCACCCCTTTGACCAAGAAGAGTGCCGAAGATGACGCAGCGGCAGAAGCAGCCATTGCAGAGCTTGAGAAGATCGGGTCTGCGACCAAGGACGATGAAGCTGAAAATTAAGATTTAATTAATGTTCTGTCGAATTAGATGTCTGGTATGAGCTCGGCAGTAGCTATGGGAGGAGGAGTCGCAGAAATATAATCATAGGATCTGCTAGAAAATGCGGTAAACGATGCTGTAACTTGGGCTTAAACTGTTGCCACGAATTTGGAATGAATTGAACTTTTTCCACTTGATAGGGTGAACATCTGATAATGTCTTGATAGAATAGAAATATTCACTTGAAATAAAAGGTGTGACATTAAAAGTGTGACTAAAACCTTAAGGATCAGCTAACCACTAAATATTTGAAAGTCAATCATACGTCTTGAGTATGAAGTTTGGCAGCATTCCACATAGTGCGCAAGATGAGCACAATAATGATTAAGCTTTTTAAGTTACATATAGTTTTCGGAATACTCGAGTGGTATTATGTCACAAGCTTTCTATAGCAGTAAAAACAATTGGTGGTTAACATTTATCTTCTTTTTCTTTTATCCTAACTAAATGAAACATGTATATACAGCAGTTGTCCCTCTCTCATGACGCCATTCCTAAACAGGTAACTCATTACTCATCAACATAATTAGTCATCGTTTCTAAGATAATACATGAAAGGTCGTTAAGTCATTAGGCTATTTGACAATAGTAAATGAGTGAAATTAATGACATGTCTTCTCATGGGTAACATGAACAGGCAAATTGTTGCGGTATGGGTTACACGAGAGTCTTACTAATGAAAAACTGGAAAAATAGATAGTTAAATAAAAGTATTAGAAAAGATAAGTAAAGAAGGCATAGCGTGAAGAGAAACCCTCCTACAACTTGATCCATTACAGAGACAGATGCATTTGCTGACCCGAAATATTTGTAAGAATTAACCGCAAATTTCCTCGCATTAATGATGTTGTCCTGGTTATCTTCCTCATGATTCTCTTTGGTTATCTTTGCATTTCTCATTTCACGAATAAGCAAAAATTTCCTTATCTGTTACAATCAAATACCTATTCGTCTCATAATAGAGGGACTATTCCCAACACCTATCAATGGTGTTCCCCATGAACCTACATTTCTCACTGTAGAGTCTGCAGAGTCAAAGTTAACATCCTCACTTCGATGAGGATTCCCAATCGCTTTCGCGGTCTATATCGTCTTCATCTATCAACACTATCTTGAAGGTAATTATCATCAGATTAGATGGTGAGGCTGACGCCTTTCTCATCACCGACCCTTGATCATGGGTGAAAAGCCATCCGACGAGTCACCGGAGGATACCCAGCACCCAATACGGAGATAGTAGATTGGATCAAGTCGGCCTCTAATGTTACAAAGAAAGGAGAGATAAATGGATATGCGCACCTCATGTGGTTCTGGCGTCTAGGCCTCGCCTGGCTGGAGCTGCAGGTTTTTTGAGACTTTTTCTTACGCACGCAGTTTCCATTGCTACCATTTGAAATTTCTTTTTGAGTAGAAGGTTCCGTGGAAAAGGTGGCCGAATTCCACGGGTAAATACTGAGCTGAATGGCTATTTATCATAGGCAATATATCAATGATCTTTCATGTACCAAAAGAGTCCAGGAGCACTTTACAAGGTGTGGCCTGGGCCAGAGATGAGACCAATACACAAAATTGTGCGAACGAAGGAAAAAATGTCGATGGATAGTTTTGCCCACCAGCCTCACATGAAGTAGCTATCAAAACTGCTTGTTGTCTCCCTGGATGATCAGCGTAGATGGCACTACTGAACCATCCATCTTAATCCTCAACTCAAGAGACTTAAAATAATTTTATCACTTGAGCGCCAAGGACCTGGTGCGTTCAACTCCCGTGCTTGAAGGCCCACAACTTGTACCAATCAGAGGGATCCAGGCAGAGATGCCTCTTTTTCAACCTTTATCTATCCAGAGTCTCCCCCTCAGATTACACTGTCCGAGAGAGAAATTAAACCATTTCTTAACTGAATTCATAATTCTTGTTGGAGGGAAATATGCTACGTATTTATTGGTAATTCGAGTGGCTAACAGTTTTTTTAATAATATCTTACTAGGCAATTCGTAGCCTCCGCATTCCTAATGGAATCGGATCACGAGTAGGCCAGGTTGGATTAGATCAACTATCATGAGCAACTTGAGCCTCGTCTAACCTGAATGACCTAATCATCTTAGACTTCAAACGTGTGTTAGATCATCCCAAGCCTAGCTTTCCAGATAACCCGATATGTGAGCGCCAAAGCGCAAAATTTTCATAGGCCTCTGCGACCACACGCTCGAGCCTCTGATAGCTTCGCAATTTTTATTAACCCCTGCCGTTTAACTCTAGATTTGCACCGTCCCGGTATCCTCTCTACTTTTTTAAGGGTCATCTTCAATAAAAGTTCCATCCAATCGTCGTAGCAGACGGCCTGTCGGGCTACGCAAGTTCTAGGAGCTTTAGTGCGCGCCAGAGCGTTTACTAGTTCCCTAGGGACCGAGCGTGTCGTTAAATCTCATCAATCAAAATTGAAGTCTGAAAAAAGAGTGCCAAATAAGAACTGGAAAGAGATCGATACGATTATATTCAAAGCCTTACAGATTTACCACATGACTTACTCTAACATAGATATTCATGATACTAGTTGTACGAGATCAAGCAAAGAGTCAAAATAGAGAGGAGCGGCAACAACAGTTGTATCTCTCAATAAAATTTGATGCTAGTCAGTAGCTAATGAGGTCAGCAAGTGGCTCAAATTTAGCAATATATCCTATTTAGGAAAGCGTTGTGTATGACTTCGCAACACCTCCAATCTATTCTCCAGGGAATGAACTGACTATACTCTTAACTACATGAGGGGTCCTGGGCACGTAAGAATAATCTGACGCTTTGATGCTATCAGCATAGGGCTGATGTGGGTTCGCCGACTGGACTTTCTCCCACCTTTGTCGGCTAGATTTGCCGCGATAGCCATATCGATATTTCCTTGAACAACTGCACAGCGGGCTTAGTCTGGCAGACGACAGTCGTGTCCACTCAATGCCAGACCGTGTTTCTCCATGACAAAAGACTAAGCTAACTGCTTATCACGAATACGAAGGACGCTCAATTAATTCCAGATTTTCATGGTGTGAATAGGGTTAAGGTTAGCGATTAAAGCACATATCTACACTGCAAGCTGGTAAGTCGAGACTAGGGGCCTTGTTTCTGCTTCGGTCTTATTTACACAAGGATCAATAATTCAAAATACCACCAAAGCATGCGCATAGTGTCATCAGGAATTTGTAATATTCTGGGGGATTATACGGAAGCACCACAGATAACTTGTACACAACTTCATCATAGGATTACTCCGACTCGGGAGCTGAGCATGGTCTGGGACTTCCGGGCCTCGTAGTAGAGTCGGACGGACCCTAATCCGTCATGCCACGTGATAATCAATCCAAAATCTAACGGCTAGCCACGATTATCAACAGAAACTAGGATCAACCCTTAACTTGCTCAATAATTACGGCCTAATCGGTGTTGGAAATATATTGGGGTAGTCCTGGTTGATTTGATAGCATCGTAGGAAAACCTCGCACTCAAAATACAACTTGAAAATACCACGGCACAGCATGACAATTTAATTCACAGCTTCCTTGGAGATGTCACTTATTTAGCTATCTAGCCATACCATTGACGCTTGAGTCCAACATATAATATCGAGCTAGGTTTTCTGCTCAATGGTAGACCTTGTGCGATGAGCCACATGCAAGGTCCATTTTTGCATTCATTCTACAAGACCCGTAGAGATGACCGCTAGAGAGCTATGGTGGCCTAGAGGATCCCAGAAATTGAATACATGTGTAGTTTGGGACTGTTTTGCCGCGCATCCCGTCATATCCGGTGCTTAACTCTCGCCTCCAGTCTAGATCCATTATCTGATGCCGAAATATCCACCAAAAGAAGAGACCAAACAAATTAAGTCGCTTAACCTGCCCCGGCTACTTCGTATTCCGCTAGATCGCTTTTATTTTCGATGCCACTAGTCCGAATTTCGCTGTCAGACCTACCGGTGGCCACGAAGCAAATATTGGCCATCTCGTTACTCGGAAAAGTATAGCCCTACTTGTATACCTTCACCGGCACTAGATCTGCCGCTAGTATGAAGCGTAGTTCCTCGATAGTCTCCTCACAATCCCTATAAAGATTGATGCTCTGCAACTATGATCCGAACCACAAACCTCCACCATTACACTCTTCTACAACTCATCAACATCAGCAATCAACCCAACATCAACAACCACACCAATAACCACACCAATAACCACACCAACGACCACACCAAGAACCACACCAAGAACCACACCAAGAACCACACCAAGAACCACACCAAGAACCACACCAACATCAAAATTTTAAAATGGCACCAGTCGAGCCCATAATACCCAAGTTCCTTGTTTCCGGAACCAAACTACACGTAAGTTCACAACAGTCTACATCCGCGATGTATAGCTGTAGCTTTTCTGAGCCGAGCTAACTACTGCCAAAGTTCGGTCATGGAAAAGGCTCTCAGGCCATGGCGCATTCAGTGACTCGCAGCGAAGTTGTAGCACGCGATATATCAAAAGCCTTTCTCGTGGCCACCTGTTTTTTGATCGGCATGCTAGCTGCTAGCATCTTCATCGCTGGTATCACAATGTGCCGCAGATATGTCAAGAAATGCCGCATGCAACGCGAGGCAAATTTGCAGAGGGAACGTGACGCCCTCAGTGAGTTCGAGAAGTTCGAGGAAGATTCGCAGGCATCTCACTGGGACACCTACGTCGTTCCAGAATCGCACAGAGACCAAGAATGGTGATTGCATGCGACAGGACAACAGAGGAATCTGTAAATAACTGACTATCAAAATGTAACTAATCTTTATTTCCCCCTTTGACCTTGAGCTATAGATATCAGCTCAAATACTGACAGTTGGACAGATGGAAGCATGACAAAATTATTGGAAAAACACTAACTACAAGGCCCGCAGTACTTATCATTCGCAGCGGGGTCTGGATATGAGTCTAGGGTTTAAAGCGATTAGGAGAAATTGATAGCTGGGCATTATCAGTCACGTGTGATACACCAGCCCCTTTCCCCATTCAAGTTAGCGATGAAGGATATCACGTGAAAGTCACTCTTCCCAGAGTAATATTCTTGTATTGTGTAGTCTTAATGTGGAAAATCAATCAACCCTTATTCAAATCCTATGATACTTAGAGTAGACTCCTTATCTAGTGAGATTATGACTTGGCCGAAATATATGAACGAAGAGCCCTTACTCACCACGGTCTGCGATAAAAGATAGAGACATTGAATAGGCGGGACAAATGATAAGGGTTAAAAAGACGTTAGGAAGTTACCCAAGGTTCCCCTTATGTTCAAGTATCACAAGATCTGTATTGAGTTAGGTGTTGGAATGAAATAACAACTGTTATATTAATAAAGACTTAATGAAATTACAATACACATTTCCTATCTTATATACATCATTCATATTCCACGAGTAATCCAGCTGTGTAGGGTCAACACTTATGTCTTCTACACATGTCCTTTACTCGTGTCTTAAATAGAGAGAGTGATCTGTCTTCCTGCCTCTTGTTTATTACCCGAAGGCCACTATCACGTGACACGGATCTTCCTCAACACATGTCACGCAGACTTCCTGCCCAAGCGGTAACGACTAATAGTAAGGTAAATATATGACCATACGTTATTCATCCCATAATAATATTTTACATTCTAGGTCTCAACATAAAGTCTTGTAGAGGCGTGGCTCATAGGTAGCGTGCGTCTCCGAGCTCATAAACGTACGTAGTTGTGCTTGATAGTCATTGTTGAAAGTCATGCGATAAATCTGTAATTGTATCACGTGCCTCGCTTAGAATTCCACACTTCCCGTAATTTTGAAGTGTGATGATAATTGCAAGAACAAGTAAAAGAAGCACCAATAGTTGTAGTTATAGTACACACAACAAATCATATATATATTTATATTATAAGGAATCTGATTTCGAGAGCAAGTATCCACACGTAGCTGAATATATAGCTGGTATGCAGTATACTCTTAACTCCACTGTCGCATAAATTACAACAGTCATGAACTCCAGTAGCACTTTGAGTGTATTGTTTATTAAACTACTAGATTCTCAGACTATCTAGCGCATTAGGGTTGGATGGTGCAGTGGTACACCGTCCGGGCCGTTCTCCCAAGTAGATACTGGGTAGCTTGAACACCTACCCCATTCGAGACAGGATAAAGCTGGTTCGAATCCAGTCAGACCCACATACCTCTCTCTCTCGCGGTGATATTGTGCTTGTAGGATGATGAGAGCACACTCGGATAGCCACAGGTTTTTCACGCTTTTCCCTGTGGTGGGTATACACGGAAGAGGTTATTCGCCGTAAGGGTTAATCTCGAGTGGTATCAGCAAATGAAAACTGAGTGTGAGTGTTCTAATCATCAAATTGAGTGATCCTACTTAAAGAACATACCTTGCGATAAAAACCTGCATGGGCCTCAAGACGCCAAATCAGGTAAAATGAATTATATATATATATATCTAGCGCATTGGCCTTCTTTCTGACCCAGACCACACCTTGTACAGCGCCCCTTGCCTCTTGTGTTGTTTGAAAGATCATTGATACATTTCCCGTCATGGATGGCCATTTAGCCGCCTTTTCCACGGAACCTTCTACCCAAAAACAATAAAAATGGTAGCAATGGAAACTGCGTGCGCGGGTAAAAGTTTCAAAAAACCTGCAGCCCCAGCCAGGCGAGGCCTAGACACCGGGACCACACGAGGTGCGCATATTCATCTATATCTCCCTTCTTTGTGACATTCGAGGCCGGCTCAATTCAATCCACCATCTCCGTATCGCGTGCTGGGTTCGCCCCGGAAACTCATCGGATGGCTTTTCCTCCATAATCAAGGGTTGGTGATGAGTAGGGCTCCGACCCTACCATCTGATCTGATCGTGGTTAGCTTCATGATAATGGTGATAGGGGAATGTGTTGAGAGATGAAGACGATACAGACCGCGAAAGCGATTGGGAATCCTCATCGAAGGGAGGATGTTAACTTTGACTCTGCAGACTCTACAGTGAGAAATGTAGGTTCATGGGGAACACCATTGATAGGTGTTGGGAATAGTCCCCCAGAGAACCTTAGTGATTTAGTTGTAATACGAGATTGAGCCAATAACGTTTACAAATAGTAATTAAAAGGTCATCATTGCTTCCATAACGCCAGTCCGCCATGGGTATCCAATTCAAACTCAACGTCTATAAACAATATTCCTAGCCACATAACATATTTTACCATCATCCTCGCGGAGGACACCAGTGAAAGGTGTTCAGTCTTCGTTCTCCCTAATAATAGAGGGGTCGCCGGCAAAGACGAATTCTCCACCTTCCAGTGGTGCCGGTGTAATCGCTCAGTATGCTCTGCATATCTGGGATAGCCAAGAAGAATCGCATCCGAATCGAAGTCGACAGCAAACACATGCATATCTCCATTTGACGACTTCTCAACCATGCAGCACTCACCATTATCTTCTGAGTCCTCAACCCCGATCTAACCACATATCAATTCGCCTCGCCGACCGATAAAGGCGTCACCCCAGTTGCAAACAGGAGCTTGTCTCATTCATTACCGGCCATCACTCTCTACATATTTACGATGCTATTTATACCCGCAAGGAGGAAATCAAGTCGAAAAATACAAAGTTGGGGTCTTGGTTTATGAGGGACTGCTGCTCTAATGGGGTTATACATCTTGAGGAAGAACAAGCGGCTGAGATGTGGAGCGAGAGGGGAAAGAAGTCTCTGAAGACCATGCTGGGACTGACATTTTCGAGGAGTTTTCAACTTTGGATTTTTTGTGGGCGCCAAGACCAAGATTTCGTCTAATTAGCCAGGAGGGCTTCTTTTGTCGATGAGTCAACGGCACTCCCCAGCGCCCTGGACGGTACAAAAGAAGTTGGGTTAAGCAACCATACAGCAATCACGCTCTGTCAAGACTTTTCTGACATTTCAGCATAACCTTCGGGAAGGATTTGGAAGGAGGCTAGAAAGGCAGAGGGCGAATTTCCCGAGGTACCCACAAGTCTGCAGCGCCCAGCTGGCCGGTCTCTTCGAACGCTTCAGAAGGGGCAATATGTTTTCGGATTTATTCCTAATGTCGGTATTAGAAGAGCCCCGCACCCAGTGGTTTTTGCGATTTTTCCCGGCTGCCATACACCCGCAAATGGCCATCGTTTCGTTGGCTAGAGAGGGGAGATAATGAAGGGCTAAGGGCTCCTCTTAGTCTATGATCGAATGAGGACTTGTGAGGGGTGGTACTGTTTGAGGGGAGCTGTATGTGAGGCATAGGAGGGGATATACTACTGGTATAGATATCCTTGGCCTGTAGGCAGGGAGGACCTGCATGTCCTACATAGTCATAGACTCAGACAGGACAATAAAATGAATTAATAATTAATAGAGGGGTCTACCCACGAACAAATTCGGCCTAACATGTATTTATTTATAATTTTTAAGGTCGTGCCCGCGCACAGCACGTGAGCTTTTAACGTACCGCCTAGGCCAGTCTAAATTAAGCTACCCAACGTGTTGGCGCCTGGACAGACCAAACGTAGCAATAGAAGGCTAGCATCTAATAATCCTGCGCTCGAAGATTAAATTGTACATGCTCGTCAGCCTCTTGCCGGACCCCATGATTTACCGATGGCAGTTATAGGGAAACGTAAAAATGAAAAAAGAGAGAAGGTATCTATATCAATCTGAGGCTCTCAAGCCTTCTATTCAGTGGCTCAAGTCTGGTCAGACTTGCTGCAGTGTCTCTATGAAGAAAGCTGTGGTACGTACCCAGCTCATAAAGACGTGAACTCCCTCTACTGAAGCAAGAGCCCAAGATATGTTGGGAGTAAAATTTTGGGTCCTTTTTAGCCGATTCTGGTACTGCCCGATATGGCAGAAGAGCAATTGATCGGGGCATTTCTCCTGTCCACATGAGCAGGTTAGAATGGCATTTTTGTGCTGGAACTGTCGCTAGTATTCCGCAAAGCCGCCTTGTCCAGATCTTGCAGCTAGCAGATATCCGAGTATATGTCGTCCAAGATGGGTGAGCTCAACAGCGATATTAGTATTCGATCCAATGCCTAGCTCATCATATCGAGACAGTGAGCTTTTAGCCCAGTAGAGTGCGGCAGAGGCCTCGTATTGGGCCTTGATTTCCCTCCTTGCTCTAGCAATGGAGAGTGCCAGTGGTGCAGCCAGAGCCGCGAATGCAGCTGCTTCGTCTCCAATGATACCTGCGTGGCCTGGGCACCAGCGAACAGCTACTTCACTAGGCATCGTATTCTAGCCACGAGTCCTCATGTTCCAGTTAGCCGCAAGCTTGCGAAAGAGAAGGATTTTCGCTGAGCTAGACGCTGTGAGATCATCAGAGAGAAGACGGAGGGCGGCCTCCTGGCTGTCTAGGCAAACGGTAACATTAGTGGCATAGTAGGCCAGTGAGTTGCGGAGTGCTGCAGCAAAACCTTCCGTGGCCCCGGCAATTTGAGCATCATAGACTTCTGCCGAGTTTCCAAGAGGGAGTGATCCTCGCCCAGTCATCTATCATGTACTTTTCTTTGATATTGTGTCATAGCTAGATAGCTGCATACGCAATGAAAATCTGATGCAAGAAAATCCTCGCCCATTTACCTGCGTAATACCTCGATAGATCACGTAGTCTGCACCTGCTTAGTGTCATGGTTTGGGAATTGATGCATAAGCAATCAGATATACGAAGGTAGTTTATAATTATCTATGTCT